TCTCTCTCTCTCTCTCTCCCCAACACATACACATGGAATTTGAAACCTCTCTCTCTCTCTCTCTCTCTCTCTCACACACACACACACACACACACACACACACACACACACACACAGGGGGCATGTTTTGTATAGCAACGTGACAGCACACGGTCACACCAGCTGCTTCTCTGGTCAGAGGTTTAGAACAGCACATGTACGTGCATGGGATGATATTTGTTTGGTCTGTGTGGGGGCATCTGGACAATGGTAGTAACTTTGTTTATACTTGTCCGTGTACAAATGGTAATGTGAACGCCAATTTCATCCTCGACCTGAACTGCATAGACTTCTGATGGGTACTGAATCACGGATGATGTTTTCGATGAAAAATAAAATAATGGAGGGTGGGGTTTGGGTGGGGGTGTCTTTTGCCAATTTGCACAGTTTTGGCGTTATTTGCCAATGCACCAAAGGTTGGTGGAAGCAACCGCTGAGCATTCTCAAGATAAAGCAGATTTCACGGACTCACTGCCCACAGACAAGATTGGAATTGGGCACGGAAAAAAAAAAAAAAAAAAAAGATTATAAATTTGTGAGACACAGAAACCTTGAGCACCCTCTTTGAAAAAAAAAAAAAAAAAGCACCCTCTTTGAGCTAACCAGACCCCTTTACTGATCTGACTGTGTCTGTCCGTTCACAAGGAAAATAAACTCTCTCTCTCTCTCTGCTCTCAGCACGAACGGCGACATAGCACATTGCCACTGGATATAGTTTCTGTCTCCACTGGAGAGAGAGAGAGAGAGAGAGAGAGAGAGAGAGAGAGAGAGAGAGAGAGAGAGAGAGAGAGAGAGAGAGAGAGAGGCAGGCAGATGACAACAGATAACATACAGACGACAGACAGGCCTGGGAAAGACGGGCCTACCGTCTTCACAAGAATAGAACGCCCGAGAGAGAGAGAGGCAGACAGATGACAACAGGTAACAGACAGACGACAGACAGGCCTGGGAAAGACGGGCCTACCGCCTTCACAAGAATAGAATGCCCAGTCATTATAGCTGCATTTGGGCCAACTTTCAGTCCAGATGCAGCGATAATGACCGGGTATTCTATTGGGGTGAAGACGGGCCTAGCTCAGTTCGTACACCCAAAAACTGACTGTTGAAATACGGACCTGAGTTCGAAGTTCGAACCCAGATGGAACAAATATGAAGTTATGAACGGAATTCCTGGATTACAAAGGGGCCAGCGAATTTCAGTGAATTTTATGATGATAGCTTGAGGCTGTCGCCCGTTGGAAAAAGGAGGAAAATGAAGGAGGGAAAATTTGGAAGAAAAAAGAAAAGGCTTCGAAGTTCGAACACTAAGGGGGTACTAAACAGGAAAGCTTTCCAGCATGTACCTGGCCGAAATCACGGTTGATGATCATGATGAGATCAGTTGAAAAAGTCACAGTGGGAATGAAATACCAGAAATTCAATCTGAAAAAGTCGGAGTGTGAGCGACAGCTTTTCACTTGCTGAATGTGAAAAAAAAGGTGAGTTACAAGAAAAAGAAAAAGAAAAAGAAAAAGAAAAAACGAGGGAGGTAAATGCATCTTGCCACCTTCAATGTCCAGATACATTCGCCAGCCATTTGCTTTCACATTTGCAGAGTGGTAGAGAAACACCAGAGTTAGAATGTGTGGAGGTCTACGATCAGGTTCAGGTACTGCTTGCCCGGGATGAAGTCCCCCTAGCAGCGTTGCAGTTGCTTAACGCCTGAATCTGGACGTGTTTGTGGAGATGTGCGTTATCTGCCCCTCTCCACAATTACATCTAGATTCCGGCGTTAAGGAAACTCAACGCTCCTTGCGGGACTTGTACCCCCGGATTCTTTTTTCTCCAGATTTGCCGCCGTTGATCTATTTTATTAAATATTAACTTATTTTAAGTTCTTCAGAAGTTAAAATTCAATTGTTATAATTTGGTAATTTGTTTATTTCAATAATTTAATTTGTTTATTTCAATAATTTAATTTGTTAATTTAATTGACAGTCGCAATGTAATAATGACGACTTCTTGTTTGCCCCTGTACCTCGGTATTGGCGGGACTCTTGTCATGAACACTTTTTTTTTTTTTTTTGGTTATTGTTGAAGATGTGAGGTTGCGTGCTGATTGGAGCTAATTGTGGGCAGATTGCCGCATTCGTGTGGTGTTGTGTGTGCGAGTCGGGCGCTACATCCTTCCAGGGGTGGGCTGCATGGAAAAACACAAAATGGTTAGTGAAGGGCGAAGCTCAGTGTATAAGCGGCGCCTTGTTATCACGAATTCAAGATCAAAAGTTATCAGGCCTCGCTCCACTACACACACACACACACACAGGCGCGCACACACACACACACACACACACACACCTGTCTCTTATACACATCTAGATGTGTATAAGAGACAGCCACTGAGTCTCCTCTTCTTGCACTTCGCCATAACAACGCCATAATTGCCCATTGTCCAACCACCTTGCCTTGATTTCTCCCTGAAACCCCTCTCCTGCCCAACAGCGCTCAATAGACATCCATCAAGCGGATTGACATTGGGCAATGGCGTTGTTATGGCGAAGTGCAAGAAGAGGAGACTCCGTCGAGATGCTGTCTCTTATACACATCTAGATGTGTATAAGAGACAGAAGCAGATTTTATGAAATACTGTAAAATGGCCCTAACTTCCCTTCAAGTTAAACTTTGTGCGATTAAAGAAGTATCAATATTTACAACCTGTTACTATTTCACCTTGTACCGTCCAACATCCAGTGCCTCTGTCAGAAAGCTTCTGGATGACATTGAGGGCAGGTACAGATCATGAATGAGCCCATCTGACAAGCTTGCATTCACAATTTTCCGTTGCTACACGTCTTAAGAAAAAAAATTAACCACCATCGGCGCCAAGAGAACAATGTTCACTGAACCTACCCACCTTCACCCCAATGTCATTGCATGTTCACTACAGTTCGATTATCCTCGATGAGTCTACGTATTTATGACAATTACTGGACCAGATACAAGCATTTTCAAGTTTCAACACTATTTTAGCCATAATTCCCAACATCCATGGCAAGACAGTTGGCTTGTGGACTGTGGGTAAATATGCAATAGTGGTGGTGGTGGTGGTCCCGGGCGTGGCGACCGGGAGAGGATTAGCTGGGGGGAGAAGACGGGAGGTGAGGAGGTCCGGAGGTGGGGACGTCGGCACAATTACCACAGAGGCCCATCCATTGCAGGATGCACTGGTGATTTTGAATTTCAAACGATGATTCCACTATGGTTCCAGATTTTTTTTATTTTTTTTTTTTTTTTTATTTTTTTGTTCCAGATAATTTTTGAGCGCATGCTACTTACCTACCAAATTTACCGATGCTTCGGGACTGGGACCACCAAATTTACCTATGCTTCGGGACTGGGACCAACTCGAAGTTGCCGGCCGGAAGAGGTGGTGGGGAGTGGTTCAAGTGACACCGGTATATGGAGGGGAGGGTTGAGTGCGCTCACAGCTGAGGATGTTTTGTGACGGACCAGGTCCCGTGTTTGTTGTTTGCGGTGGATTGTGGGGATAAAGAATTGTTTTCGACTTCTCTATTAATATGCTTAACAAGTCAATGTGGTCTGGATTGTCAGAACGAAAATCTGTTTCGGGCAGCCGGAGGATGTTCGAGGGATGAAGCTTTGTTTGTGGCAAAGGTCCGTCGGAAGAACGGGCTCCATGTCTCTCCCCGACCGTATACGTTGAATCATGGGATTGGAATGAAGAATCGTTGTGCATAGAATCAGAGCCCATTATTTTTCGGTTACTAGCCTAATCTCACCAAACTAACGGGACTGTGGCCGTACTAGCCGCCGCCGGCATTTTTTTTTTTATTTTTTTATTTTTTTTTTCTTTACTAGCTGGCATTACGTCCGACCTAATTAGTGTTTTAGGCATTATGTCCGTCCTAACTAGTGTTTTCGGCATTACGTCCGCTCTAATTAGTATGTTGAACGCTGCTGGTGCTTATCGTACTGGTGCTACTCGCAGTAGATCTGCGGGAGTATGGGCCTAGTTGCACCGCTCGCCATCCACCAACGTTTCGAACGCACCTGTACATGAAATTTGCTGATATGCATTCAAATTTCAAATATTGGCGGATGGCATGCGGTGCAACTAGTAGGCCGTATGGGTGCTACTCTCTTCTGCAGGGGATACACATCCCTGTCAATGTCCAGCAGCTGCAACAACTACAGAATCATGACGAAAGTGGGGTTTCCATTTCCTTCTCCTCCTCCCTATAAGGACCGTCGTATAGTACGCGGTGTACACCCCTGCCATCGCTACTACTTCACCCTCTTCATGGTCTTTGTCGTCGTTTTTTTTTTTTTTTTCTCGCTCCTAGTCTTCCTCCGCAGAGTCACCTTATTCTTCAGCCCGCACACCGTCATCTTGATCCTCCTCGTCAGGCGGGTAGGAGC